TCCTGAGCCATCCTGAGCAACCGTAAAACTTCCTCCTGCAAAACAGCAGCCCTAGGAACCTCCAGGAGAGCCCAGCTCGCTCTCGTCCTCACGTTGTCACTGCCAGGTCCGTTCCCATACAAGCACTTCCCATCAACTCTATCAGAAAATAAGAGCATGTAGTAACAGCTACCGAAGAACACTGTACTTTTCCCCCCATTTGAGATTAGCTGTAACCAAGAAACACTGCAGCTTTCCATGAAGCCCCGTGATAGCTCTCGCTAGCCCAGCACTGCTTACAGAAAACCGTGGCGATTCTGCCTGGTTCGGACTCGGCACGTCGGGCTGCAGGGGGGAACGGAGCTTTGCGCAAAGCCGCGAGCCAGGGCTTCCTTGGTATCCAGACCAGACCCTACTTCCAGCCATCGCTTCCCGGGTCCGGCTGCTCCAGGGGGGCCGTACGCTGGACAAGGCCTCGCTCGAGGCTCCCATGTGCCTGTGCCAAGCGCTGCCCCCGGGGGACGAGGCCGCTCGTCCGGCTCTGCCGGTGGCAGGAGCCGAGGGCTGCGCAGAGCTGAAGAGAATCAAATCAAAGGGGTTTAGATCAGCAGATTTCGCGTTTCTCCCACAAGATGTCGGACTAATTGTTATGAAAAAGAGATTGTTACACAAAACCTACCAAACTAACAAACTGTGCTAGAAGAACAGAACACCTTGGAGCTGGAGCATGTTGCACTAGGGCACCTGTCCTTTCTGTGAGGAAATGGTCACTGAGTAACTGTCACTGGAGAGACAAAACAGTACAAAACCACCCAAAAAAGCAATTACATCCGCATGCGAGGAACATGCTTGGCACTTTCAACAGAAGACTCGATAAGGTCAAGACCTTTCCATGAGCAGAATTGTTAAGAAAAAGGTCACGCTTACCATACAGATTTCCCAGTTTCTTTTTGACATTCCTCTGATGCCTTGGTGCGCATTCCTTATCCCAGATGAGCGCTCCCCACCGGCACCCGGTGGAAGCAGTGTGTTCCACAGTTCCACGCAGCGTGAAAGGCCTCAGAGAAGCCAAGGCGACGGTTCCTGGGCAGCAGCGCAGGCCGCCGCGGGAATTCCGCATCTCCGCAAGGAAACCGCATGGGAGATAAGGAGCCTCCTAACAGACAGGTTTCCTGGGTGCTCCCGGGCCTCTAACCGCAACCGCCACCTGCTATTTTGGAAACGTAGCAGTCGTTGATGCCCTGAGCAGCCGGACGGCAGTTACCCGTTAACGCGGCGCACGTGCCCCTTCCTGCCGCGCCGGCGCTCCCCGGGGTTTGCAGGCCCCTCAGGTCCCCGCTGCTCTGCTCCGCGCCGCAGCGAGCGACCGGGCACCCACGGGCTGCCCACGCCGGAGCAGGGCTTCCGGGGGCACCGTGTAGTGAGCCAGTTCTTTGCATTGCAGTTACACAACTCTTGATGACTGGAATATACCTGGCCAATATTAAACATCCTGGTGTTCGGAAGTCTGTAAATAATGGCTAAGCTCTTCAGAAGGGGGTTGCTTAGAACCAGGCTCAAACTGTAACAGCCAAGTTGGTTGTAAATACGTAAGGCCCGTGGTTGTTAACATGGAAATAAGAGCTATCGAGGGTAATTTATACCTGAACCTGCCTCTTCATCCTGAATCACTCAATTCATTTCTTTAAAATTAAATTCAGGAGAAGAATGCACAGAACTTTAAGCATTTGGCAGACAATACTTTCCTATTCTTGGGGCCAAGAAAAATACCTATTACTCAACAACATTTCTTGCTAAGTTCCTCAACAAATCTGCAGTTGTCATGTAACAGCACGGTTATTACGGGCCCTGACCGCGCTCGGGCGAGCGGGGGGCGGACGCAGCCCCCTGCCCTCCCCTTGCGCAGCGCGCCAAGCCAAGCGCCTCGGCGCGAACCCGCGCCTTGCCAAGAGCTCGCAGCCCTCCTGCGGGCGCCGCAGCCTGCCGAGCCGCGAGGCAGGGGACGGGACGGCAGCGCCGCGCGAGGGCACGGAGCCCTTCCCCGCCGGGAAGCAGCGGCACCCCGAGGCCTCTGCGGCCCCGGGAACAGCCCTCCCTCCACTCTGTTCAGCCTTTTGCCTTTCTAAACAGCTGGGGAAAAACGCGCTGTTCAGTTTCGCATTTTTGACCACTTCTCTTTGTGTTTGTAAGCTGTTTCGTGGCACCGACGTGCAAGACCCCCACTACTTTGGGAAAGGCAGTTCTGTGGGACCAAGGCAAGGGGATCGGGCGAGACGGGGAGCGCGGCGCTGGAGGCACTCGGCCGCGGGGCTCCCGCGGGGCGGCCGCGCCAGCCCCTGCTCTGCCCCAGGCACACGCGGCACGACGGCACCGAGCCCGGCCTGGAGCCGCGGCTGCTCCCGGGCGCGGCCCCCCCCCCCCG